TAATGTCATATATACAAATTAGCTCAAAATGGATTAAAGATCTAAACATAAAAGAGCTAAAACTAAAGTCTTAGAAGAAAACATAGGGCAAAAGCTTCACGACATCAGACTTGGTAATAACTTCTTATACTTCTTGGATTAGACACCAAAAGCACAGGCAACAACGGCAACAACAACAAAAAACCGATAAATTGGACTTCACCAAAGTTTTAAAAGTCCTATGTGTAAAGGGCACTATCAAGAGTAAAAAGACAAACCACAGAATGGAACAGAATATATGCAGATCAGATATCTACTGATGAATTAATAACCAGAATAAAGAATTCCTAACAGTCAACAACAACAAAAAAACAAAAAACAAATTCTCCAATTTAAAAATGTGCAAAGGACTTGAAAAGGCATTTCAAAGATGATATACAAATGGCTAATATGTACATGAAAAGATGCGCAATGTATCATTAGATAAATGCATATCAAAACCACAATGAGATACCACGTCATACCCATTAGGATGGCTATTATAAACAAAACAAAACACAACAAAAGTGTTGGCAAGGATGTGGAGAAATTGGGATGTAAAATGGTACAACTCTGGCAGTTACTCAAAATGTTAAACATAGAATTATCCTGTGATCTACTAATTCCACTCTGAGCATATACACAAAAGAATTGAAAGCAGGGACTCCAACACATAGCTGTACATCAATGTTCAAGAGCAACATTATTCATAATAGCCGAGGGTGGAGACAACCCAAATGTCCACCAATGGATGAATAAACAAAATGTGTATAAATGCAATGGAATATTATTCAGCCTTAAAAAGGAACAAAATTCTGATACATGGTACAATATGGATGAACCTTAAATACATAATGCTAAGTGAAATAAGCTAGTCACAGAAGTCCAAATACTGTATGATTCCATTAAAGTACCTAGAATAGTCAAATTCATAGAGACAGAGTAGAACAGTGGTTACCAGGGGCTCAGGGTAGGAGACATGGGGAGTTATTGTTTAATGGTTTCAGTAAGAAATGATGAAAAAGCCCTGAAGAGATGGAGAGCAGAGATGGTTGCACAACAATGTGAATGTATTTAATGCCACTGAACTGTACACTTAAAAAGGGTTAAAATGGGTGGGGTACCGTGGATCACGCCTGTAATCCCAGCACGTTGGAAGTCCAAGACAGGTGAGTCACCTGAAGTCAGGAGTTCAAGACCAGCCTGGCCAACATGGTGAAACCTCGTCTTTACTAAAAAATACAAAAAATTAGCTGAGCATGGTGGTGCATGCCTGTAATCCCAGCTACTTGGGAGACTGAGGCAGGAGAATCACTTGAACCCGAGAGGTGGAGGTTGCAGTGAGCCAAGATCAAGCCATTGCACTCCAGCCTGGGCAACAAGAGCAAGACTCTATCTCAAAAAAGGCAGGGGGGAGTTAAAATGGTAAATTTTATGTTACATGTATTCTGCCATATATTAAAAAGAGGTAAAAATGAAAAAATTAACCCCAAATACATATCTGCATATATACCATAAAAATGCATGCAGTTTATTACATTAAAAAATGTGTGACCAGGCCAGGTAAAGAGGCTGATGCCTGTAATCCCAGCACTCTGGGAGGCTGAAGCAAGTGGCTCATTTGAGGTCAGGAGTTCGAGACCAGCCTGGCAAACATGGCAAAACCCTACTTAAAAATACAAAAAATGCCAGGTGTGGTGGCTCACGCCTGTAATCCCAGCTACTTGAGGGACTGAGGCAGAGAACTGTTTGAACCCAGGAGGCGGAGGTTGCAGTGAGCCGAGATCACACCACTGCACTCCAGCCTGGGTGACAGAACGAGACTCCTTCTCAGAAAAAAAAAAAAAAAAAAAAAAACCCACAAAAATACAAAAACCAGCTGGACATGGTATCGTGTGCCTGTAATCTCATCTACTTAGGAGGCTGAGGCAGGAGAATTGCTTGAACCCTAGAGACAGAGGCTACAGTGAGCCAAGATAGCACCACTGCACTCCAACCTGGGGGACAGAGTGAGACTCTATCTCAAAAACAAAAACAAAACAATGTATGATCATTCAGTCACATTGAGGGTATTAACTGATTAAAAAGTTTTGCCCTCCATGAAGCCAATGGCAATTAACAGAAAAATGTCATTTACCTTCTGGATGTCTGAAAAGAAATGCCAATGTGAAAGGCTTGGCTTTGTTTAATATGCAATAATAGATTTACAAGTATCACCTTGAAATGCCTCAGAGGCTGGAATGTGTCTAGGGGTTGTCAGAATTCAAGAATTCACAAATTTCTTGCTAGAAGAAAATGGCAAGCTGGGCAGGCAGACATAGAAAAGAGCCCTGTCTTCTCTACTAACTTACTAAGTGCTATAAATTCCAGTTAACACCCATCCATGGTCTTTAGGTTTTATTTTAGGAGTACTTTAGAATCTACTGAGGATTAAGTTCTTGACTGTTTTCTCTACTCAGTCTGGTGCTAACAACTGCAGGGCCCTACTGCAATCCATAAAACTAGCTCTTTGAGAGGCCATGAACACTGTTAACATTAAGTGACATTCACATTAATGCTCCTAAGTGAAGGGAGAGAAGTGCTCTAACACATGCTGGAGATTAACAAGGCAGTCAAATACCTCTAATCTGATAGTGCTGAGAATAAACCAAGTGTACTGTAACGCTGTCATTTAGCACCCTTCAAAGTCAGTTGGGGAAGAGAAGCAACAACTATTTTGAGGATGGTTCTCAAGAAGGTCCCAGAATAGTATCACCCTCCTCCAAACCCCCAAGTGAAAAGGACTGTTAAGAGAGGCAATGAGTACACAAAGACTCCATGTGAGCAATGACTCAGATTATTCACTATTGATATCCACTACTTTAGTACCACAACTTGTATTATAGAAGGTATATGATAATAACAACTATTATTACTATTATTTTAAGACAGGGTCCCACTGTCACCCAGGCTGGAATGCAGTGGCATGATCACAGCTCACTGAAGCCTCAATCTCCCTGGATTCACCTCAGCTCCCACCTCAGCCTCCCGAGTAGCTGGGACTACAGGTGTGCACCACCATGTCTGGGTAATTTTTCTTTTTCTTTTTTTTTTTTGTAGAGACAACTTCACCATGTAGCCCAGTGTGATCTCGAATTCCTGGACTCAAGCAATCTGCCCACCTCAGCCTCCTAAAGTGCTGGGGTTGCAGGTGTGAGCCACTGCTCCCAGCCGGTATACAATTATATATTGACCAAATAAATCAATCTTGCTATCCCTTCCCCATTCTCCTCTCCACTGAAATCGCTTCATCTCTGGCATGTGCGCACTTTTTGAGAGACACTTTCATCATTTCATTTAACTTTGAAAGAAGTTGGAGGAGGCTGAGGACACGTGCTTGCTAATCATCCTTTCACAGATTGCCTTGTGTGCCAGAAAGGATTTTTTATTATTGGTCTGTGACAGCTACTGCTGGAGAAAGATTTCAGCTTGACCTTCCCAAGCCACTGGGGGATGAATACTGCACATACTGCACGTGGATGACAGAGCAAATGTCTCTTCCTTTTTTTTTTTTTTATTTAAAAAACAGATGCCACACATTCTTTCCAACTGAGAATATGTAACACATAAATGGCTATTAAATTGTATGGAACCATGTTATGTTATTTTTTTTTATTTAAAAAAAAAAGCTTTTAGACTAACCAGAGCACACTGTGATAGGAAAGTCACCCCTTCTCTTACTGCATAAAACTCAAGATGTTGAATTATTTTGCATTAAAATGTTATAGTAAAATTAATACGAACGAGTCCAACAAGAAAACAGTAGCATCACAAAGCACCTCACAGTACAGCATCAAAGAACAGGACTCAGGATAGCTCCACAGGCAGAGAGGAATCAAGGAAATGAAGGCCATTTATAAAAGCAGTTTAAATGTGAGGATGGATTCTCACAGCTGGCCTCACAAAAGAGAACAAATATGTCAAAGGGAAAAACTGACAGACTAATAGAGTCCTATCCATCTGGCTGAGAAAAGAGCCACCGGTGGGGAATACTGAGAAGCTTGTCTGTTAGGAAAAAGGTTTGCTTGGTGCTTCACTGGGAGAACTGAATAGCTTTGAGGAACATTGAAACACATGGTCATATCATAGCTGGTTAGCTGGCTCTGCCAGCAAGAAGCTCAAAGACGGGTTACAAAGATGCACTGGCAAAAAAGGGAGAACAGGGTACATGTGCTTTTCTTACTGGCCTGGAGTCTATACCCTGGCCTCTCCAATTTGGGAGTAGGATGAGAAGGAAAGGGAACCACATGAATAGGATGTCTTATTTTGTGCTTTTTAAAAAAAACTCAAGAGTCTCATTTTGACACATCAAGTTCAATCCCATGCCATGCTAAGCCTCATCTGTACTTTTATATAATGCAGAGCTGAGTGCAGACGCTCTGGGAGAAGGGGAAATCAGGCCAGATTCAAGGAAAACAAACACACAAGGCTATCGGCATCTCCAACTCAGTCCATACCACAGAAAAACCTCCTCAGAAATAATTGCTCAAGGTAAAGGGAACTCAATTACTAAGGAAAATCTGTTCCAAGGGTCGTGTTTTAAAGAGCCAAATAGCTTCAAATTAAGCTGAACTCAGCGTTTTTCTAATTGGCAGTTTCATCCATTTCTAAGTTCTCATTTCTTATTTTCAAAAATCAAAATGACTCTCTGCCTAAGATTTTTAAAAAATACCTTATGACACTCACTCTAAAACAATAATTCACCAGATTTTCACCTACATATCTCCTTTGTAATTAACAAACCCTTCAGATGGCACAAAGGCACACAGCATCACTTTGTATTAAAAGTACTATTAACCAATCCCACACTAATTCCTCTCAGCAGCCTTGCCCTGGTCATCCCCACAAAAGCTCAGTCACAGAGAAAATCCCCCTGCCACCAGAGAGAAGGTAACCGCTTGATCCTAGCCTCAACTAGGTCATCTGGGAGAGTAGTGGCTTACCTGCTCCTCTGACAGTTGGGATATGTGATTCACAGCAGCGTAGGACTCAATTTTGGGGTTAAAGTGGTTGATGATGGCTCTGAAACAAAGAATTCATATTAATATGGTGCCAGATGGAAGGGGAATACATCTGTTAAAAAAATAAGAATCAAGTACCCTCTGGTTTAGAGTACTACAGCATGGGAGTGATTGTGACTGGGTAACTGTCCTCTTATTGAACATGAAGAGATCACAAATGGGGGTGAATTGATAACTCTGAAATTGGAAGGGTTTACTATCAGACAGAAAATAGAATCAAGTATCTCTGCTTTGCAAATGAACTAACGGAAAAAACCCAAAGCCAAACAAAAAATTTGAGTCCTTCAGATGAGAAAGAGGACCCAGAGGGCTGTCCACTAGGGGGCCCTGGTGCTTCAATCAGAAAGAAAAGCTGTCCTCTGACTTGGGAGAACAGGGCGCTCGGTAAAGCTGGGCCAACGTACAGGCTAAACAGAAGCAAACTTCCTACTTGTTAGTAAATAAGTTTCTAACCAAAATTTTATATCCGGCCATTCAACCCAAAATCTGACTGTCATTTTAAAACACTCCCTTCTCCATCACTTGCTCACATCCAAAGTCACCCAGTCTTATCAAATCTACCTCTTAAAAATCTCTGAAATTGGAAATAAATTTCCCTGAAACCAATGCCTTGGTATAGGTTCTTGTCATTTCTTGCCTGGTGTAGCAGAAAGAACACAGGTTTTAGATCAGGGTTTTACATGAGTCCATACTGATATAAATAATTCACAGAGAAGAGACAAATCTTTCTCTTTTCACACACACACACACACACACACACACACACACACACACACACACACATTTTTAAGACAAGGTGTCACTTTGTTGCCCAGGCTGGCGTGCAGTGGCGTGATCATGGCTCACGGCATCCTTGACCTCCCAGGCTCAAGCAATCCTCCCACCTAAGCCTCCCTAGTAACTGAGACTACAGGCATGTGCCACCATGCCCGGCTAATTATTTTTTTAGTAGAGACTGGGTTTTGCCATGTTGCCCAGGCTGGTCTCAAACTCTTGAGCTCCAGCAGGTCTTTGCCTCCCAAAGTGCTGGGATTACAGACATGAGCTACTGTGCCTGGTCAACAAATCTTTCTTATACAACAATTTCAAATAATACATGTAAATACTCCTCCCGATAGGAAATGAAGTTTATTTCTCATCTTGAGGGTAGGCTAGATTTAGAGACTTACTGCCAAAGAATAGAGTAGCAAATGGGAAACACAGTAACTTGATAGCAAAGAAGCCTGTCAAACACTACCTTAACCAAATGATGAAGCTATAAATTGCCAGTGATATCATGTAGATATCATGTAATCATCGGTATGATCTGATGAGAAGGGCACTCAATAGCTCATTCTAATCACAAGAAAAATATCAGACAGACTCAGACTGGGGATATCCTACAGGATACCTGACAGGTTTTTTGTTTTGTTTTGTTTTGTTTTGAGACAGGATCTCACTTTGTTATCCAGGCTGGAATGCAGTGGCACAAATACAGCTCACTGCAGCCTCCACCTCCTTGGCTCAAGCAATCATCCCACTTTAGCCTCCCAAGTAGCTGGGCCTACAGGCATATGCCACCATGTCTGGCTAATTTTTGTATTTTTTTGTAGAGATGGGGTTTCACCATGTTGCCCAGGCCAGTTTCAAACTCCTGAGCTCAGGCAATCCTCCTTTCGCGGCCTCCTAAGGTGCTGAGATTATAGGCATGAGCCATTGCTCCTGGCCCTGACTCTTTCTTTCTTTCTTTTTTTTTTTTTTGAGATGGAGTTTAGCTCCTGTTGCCCAGGCTGGAGTGCAATGGTGCGATCTTGGCACACTGCAACCTCTGCCTCCCGGGTTCAAACAATTCTCCTACCTCAGCCTCCTGAGAAGTTGGGATTACAGGAATCTACCACCAGGCCCAGCTAATTTTGTTTTTAGTAGAGATGGGATTTTGCTATGTTGGCCAGGCTGTTCTCTAACTCTGACCTCAGGTGATCTACTTGCCTTGGCCTCCCAAAGCGCTGGGATTACAGGCGTGAGGAACCGCGCCCAGCTGGTACTTTCTTAAGACTATAAAGGTCATGAAAAACAAGACTTGAGAAATTGTCACAGATCACTGGGGAGATATGACAGTTAAATGCATATCCTGGAATGGACCCTGGAACAGCAACAGGACATTAATGGAAAAACTGGTGAAATCTAAATAAAATATGGAGTTTAGTTAATAATAATGCCAATTACTTAGTGTTGATAGATGTACCTTAGTGATACAAAATGAGGGTATCCAGGAATTCTGTGGATTATCTTTTTATTTTTCTGTAAATTTAAAAGAATCCCCAAACAGAAAGTTTATTAAAATGGGTGGTGTCAGCTAGGCATGGTGACTCATGCATGTAATTCCTTTGAGAAGCCAAGGTGAGTGGATCACTTGAGCTCAGGAGTTCGAGATCAATCTGGGCAACATGGTGAAACCCTGTCTCTACAAAAAATACAAAAAAATTTAGCCAGGTGTAGCAACACACACTTGTAGTCCCAGCTACTTGGGAGGCTGAGGTGGGAGGATCACTTAAGGCTGGGAGGCAGAGGTTGCAGTGAGCCAAGACTGTGCCAGTGCACTCCAAC